GGCTGCAGAAGGTCGCTGCCTGAAGAGCGGGCGGTGAATTTGTGTTTTCTCATCGTGCACGTTCTTCTCCGGAGGGCGCCTTTGCGGGAGAAGCGCACGGGCTCTCCTCGCCTCGGCCGGCGGCGGGCCCGCAGCCGGGTCAGCCATCTTGCGCGCGGGGCGCGGGAGCCCGCGAGGGGCGACCGGGGCGCGGGGCGCCGGCTGCGGCCGGGAGGCGCGGGGAAGGCGGCCGCTGCTGCCGAGCCGGGGCGCTTCCCTGCGCGGCTCGGGCGGCCGCGCGCTCGGAGCTGCGGCTGTCACTCGCCAGCTGCCGCGCTCGGCCAGCTGCGCTCGGCACCGCTGGTCCCAGCTGCGGGGGGTGGGGGCGGAGCCCAGGGCCGCCACGCCCCCTCGTTTGCATTGCGCGCAGGCCCCGCCCCTCCCGCTGCTTTACATATTGGCACCCAGCGGCTGCGGGCCTCGCGGGGAAGCTAGCTCAGCCGCAGCTCTGCAGCGCTGGGACTGCAACCTGCGGTCTTCCGACTCCAACCTCGCCCCTCACTCGTCCTCGGCCCTGGGTGGCGTTAAGGAGATGTGCACTGAGAGTGCTACACGGGAGAAGGAGAGCGGAAGGGCCAACGGGGGCTGGGAATGGGGAGTGGATAGGGTGGGCTCCATGGGTTCCGCCCAGACCTCTGCAGAGACTGGTACTCATCCACCCACCCACCCCCCATCCATCCCGTTGGTCATTCTGCAAGTGTCTCCTGGAGGGATGGGTTCCCGCTGTCACACATTCAGGAAGGCCTGTGGCTCCACACACTTAGACACACGTACTGCAGCGATAGGGGAGGAGACATCGTTAGGTTATATATATCTAACTCCACCACAAAGAGAATTCTTGGCTTTACTTACCCAGCAAATTAGGAGAGAACTTCCTACCTTCTGTTCATCCCCTCCAGAGAGACTCAACTTCCTCAACTGTAAAAGGGACTAATGGGGAAGGGAGATTTATTTGTTTTTATTGAAATTATTGGAGTGACTTTGGTTAATAAAATTATACAGATTTCAGATATACAGCTCTACAACACACCATCTGTATATTGTACTGTGTGTTCACCACCCCAAGTCAAGTCTCCTTCCATCACCATTTATCCCTGCTTTACCCTCTTCTACCTCCCCCAACCCTCCTTTTCCTCTGTCAATCACCATACTCTTATCTGTGTCCACCAGTCTTTTTTTTCTTAATCCCTTCACCCTTCTCACCCTGTCCCCAGCCCCCTCCCCTCTGACAGCTGCCAGTCTGTTCCCTGTATCCATGAGTCTGTGTCCACTTTATTTGGTAGTTTATTTTGTTTATTAAATTCCACATATAAGTGAAATCATACGGTACTTGTCTTTCCCTGACTGCCTTATTTCACTTAGCATAATGCTCTCTAGGTCCATCCATGCTGTCACAAAAGGTAAGAGTTCCTTCTTTTTTCTGGCCAAGTTGTATTCCATGGTGTAAATGCACCCCAGCTTTTTTATCCACTCATCTACTGACGGGCACTTGGGTTGCTTCCAAATCTTGGCTATTGTAAATAACACTGCAATGAACATAGGGGTGCATATCCTTTTGAATTGGTGTTTCAGGTTTATTTGGATATAGTCCCAGAAGTGGAATTGCTGGGTCATAAAGCAGCTCCAATTTTAATTTTCTTGAGGAAACTCCATACTGCTTTCCACAGTGGCTGCACCAGTCCGCATTCCCACCAGCAGTGTATGAGCGTTGCCTTTACTTCACATCCTGGACAACACTCGTTTGTTGATTTATTGATGCTAGCCATTCTGACAGGTGATATCCCATGTGGTTTGCATTTTTCTGATGATCAATGATATTCAGCATCTTTTCATATGTCTATTGACCATCTGTATGCCCTCTTTGGAGAAATATCTATTCAGGTCCTCTGCCAGTATTTTAATTGAATTGTTTGGGGGTTTTTTTGGTGTTGAGTTGTATAAGTTCCTTATAAATTTTGGATATTAAGCCCTATGTATTGGCAAATATGTTCTCCCATTCAGTGGGTTGTCTTTTCATTGTGTTGATGGTTTCCTTTGCTGTGCAAAGACTTTTTAGTTTGGTGTAGTTCCATTTGTTTATTTTTTTCTTTTGTTTGCCTTGCTCAAGGAGATATATCAGAAAAAATATTACTATGAGAATGTCCAAGATTTTACTGCCTGTGCTTTCTTCTAGAATGTTTATGGTTTCAGTCTACCATTTACGTCTTTGATCCACTTTTAGTTTATTTTTCTGTATGGTGTAGGAAGATAGTCTAGTTTCATTCTTTTGTATCTGTCCAATTTTCCCAACACCATTTACTGAATACACTATCTTTATCTCATTGTATGTTTTTATCTCCTTTGTCAAGTATTAATTCACTATAAAGTGTGGGTTTATTTATCTGGGCTCTCCATTCTGTTCCATTGATCTATATGTATGTTTTTATGCCAGTATCATGCTGTTTGATTACTATGGCCTTATAGTATAGTATGAGTTCTGGTAGTGTGATACTCCAACTTTGTTCTTCTTTCTAAAGATTGCTGTGGCTATTTGGAGTCCTTTGTGGTTCCAAATAAATGTTTGGAATATTTTTTCTAGTTCTGTGAAATACACTATTGATATCTTAATAGGAATTGCGTTGAATCTATTGGTTGCTTTGGGTACTTTGGATATTTTAATGGTGTTAATTTTTCCTATCCATGAACATGGTATATGCTTCCACTTATTTGTATCTTCTTCAGTTTCTTTCTTCAGTGTCTTATAATTTTCCAAGTACAGGTCTTTTACATCCTTGGTTAAATTTATTCCTAGGTATTGTTTTTGTTTTTATTTTTTGTTAATTCTCACCTGAGGATATTTTCTCCATTGATTTTTAGAGAGTAGGAAAGAGAGAGGGAATGGGAGGGAGAGATATATACATTGATGTGAGAGAGACACATCAACTGGTTGCCTCCCACACACACTCTAACCAACTGGAGATAGAAGCTGAAACCCAAGTATATGCCCTTGACCCCAAGACCCTTTGGTGTGCGGGCCAATGCTCTAACAGGGCTCTAGGTATTTTTTGAAGCAAATGTAAATTGGATTGTTTTCTTAGCTTCTAATTCTGATAGTTCATTATTGGTGTATAAAATGCAACTGATTTCTGGGTATTAATTTTGCATTCTGCTACTTTCCTGAATTCATTTATCAGTTTTAGTAGGCTTTTTGTAAAATCTTTAAGGTTCTCTTTATACAGTATCATGTCATTTGCAAATAAGAACAGTTTTACTTTTTCTTTTCCAATTTGGATGCCTTTTATTTCTTCTTCTTGTCTGATTGCTATGGCTAGGACTTTCAGTACTATGTTGAATAAGTGTAGTGAAAGGCCCAGACAGTGTGGCTCAGTGGTTGAGCATCGACCCATGAACCAGGAGGTTAGGGTTCAATTCCCAGTCAGTGTACATGCCTGGGTTGTGGACTCAATCCCCAGTAGGGGGTGTGCAGGAGGCAGTTGATCAATGATTCTCTGTCATCATTGATGTTTCTCTCTCTCTTTTCCTCTCTCTGAAATCAATAAAAATATATTTTTTAAAAAGAGTGGTGAAAGTACTCTTCTTAAGGGAAATGCTGATAGCTTTGCCCATTGAGTATGGTGTTAGCTGTGAGCTTGTCATACATGGCCTTATTATGTTGAGGTATGTTTCTTCTATTCTCACTTTGCTGAGAGTTTTTATCACAAATGGGTGCTGGATTTTATCAAATGCTTTTTTTCATCTATTGAGATGATCATGTGGTTTTGATCCTTCATTTTGTTTATGTGGTGTATCAAGTTTATTGATTTGTGGATATTGTACCAACCTTGCATCCCTGAAATAAATCCCATTTGACATAATGTATGACCTTTTTAATGTATTGCTGGATCCAGTTTGCTAATATTTTGTTGAGGATTTTAGCATCTATGTTCATCAGGAATATTGGCCTGTAATTCTCTTTCTTTGTAATTTCCTTATCTGGTTTTGGAATTAGGATAATGCTGGCCTCATAAAATGAGCTTGAGAGTCTTTCTTCATCTTAAATATTTTTAGTTTGAATGTTTGGTAAAATTTACCTGTTTGGTAAAATTTACCATTGGGAAGGGAGATTTCATAAGGTTAGTATTTCCTCAACTTTGTTTACTCCTGACCCACCTTCACAAATGTTGGTCATATTTGTGCACCATCTGGAGAAACATATATAGTCTATCTGGTTTCTGAGTTTGAATAGCAGGAGGTATCCATACTATTAAATCTCTCCAAATCTTGCCACCTGCCCAAAACAGCTGCATTTGGGCCTTCTTTTATTTGTTAAGAAAGGAGATGAACAAGTTAAAGGGATGTTAAAGACACAGCAGCATCCAACTGGGACTCTCTCCTGGATGGGAAGATGGAAAGTAACCAAAACAACAACAGTGTCTAGATGAATGATGCGGTGTGCTTTAGTGCCCTGTCCCTGCACTGCATCTAAAGACCCCACTCTGCCTGGCCATTGCGGCTCAATGGTTGAGCTTTGACTTATGCACCAGGAGGTCATGGTTCGATTCCTGATCGGGGCACATGCCTGGGTTGTGGGGTTGCTCCCCAGTGTGGGGCACGCAGGAGGCAGCCAATCAATGATTCTCTCTCATCATTGATGTTTTTCTATCTCTCTCTCCCTCTCCCTTTCTCTCTGAAATCAATAAAAATAAATCAATTAACTAATTAATTAAAATAAAGATCCCCCACTGTGCCCCACAGTCCGGGAAGGTAACACCACACGAGACTATGAGCTAGGTCTGGGCTCTGAGAGTAAGCGCTGCTCACCATTGTGTCACCCAGCACCAGGCTCAGTGCCTGACATCTCCTAAAAGCTCAATAAATATTGATTGAGTGAGTGAGTTATTGTATAAACAAATGGTCGATGAAAAATTGAAGGAGAGCACCCTTACGCCCGCTCATATCCAGTAGGTATTTAATAATGATAAACATCAGGGGCTACATCGGTGTCAGGTGCTTGCACTGTCTTACTTAGTCCTCCCAACAACCTTCATAGTCTGGTAACTCCTTATGGACCAGGACGCTGAGGCTCAGAGTGATCAAGATACACACTCTAAGTCACACTGTTGTTGATGGTGTGTAGGACGGCCTCACTACAAATCATACTGGTGACGTATGATGAAAGAAGTTGAACCAGCGACACTGAACTTCTGCCTAAGGAAGCTCAGGTCCCACTGTGACAATTTTGCCTGGAAGCTGCTGAGTCATGACTAGGTGGCATGTGGAGGGCAAAGCCTGTCATTGGAGAGCGTCCTTTCCCACATAATTCAAAGGGAGCGAGGGGGAAAATAGCTTCACTTTTAACGTTGACATGTTTGGAAATCTGGATGTGCCTGTCTATTATTAGTCCTTTAACAGGCTCCATCCCCTCCCAGGGAGGTTTGGGAAAACATCCCAGGAGACACTGCTGCTGAAGTCACTTTCCTTTGAACCATGAGATGGAAGCTTGCGGCCCACATCCTGCTTTTTGAATGAAGTGCTTGGATGACTTTGGTCTGTAACAACAAACAGTACCTCATGGGCCTGAACCTGGGTGGATCCCAATGAACTGTCCCATTCCTAGAGGGAGTGTACCAACTGAGGATGAAGGAACACAGTTCCTATTTGACCCAGATCCCTGTAGGGCTGGTGATGCTTGAACACATTTTTTAGCCAGCCCAGTAATTTTTTTTTTTACATTGGATAGAATTTTACCTACATACACAGATTCTGACTTCTCTAGGGGGGAAAAAGATATGGTTACATGGAGTCTGCAGTCCTCCACTCACTCATTCATTTGTTCATTCAGCAATGAATTTATTGAGCACCTATTATATGCTTGTCCACACATCTATATATATAAAAGCTTAAGCGACCA